TGGTAATGAATAGGTTTCCCAATTTTTCTTCCTGTTGCATGTGCTCAACCATGTAGGATCGTATCCAAATCACAGATCAGAAAAATTGAGGTTGACAAAATAATTTGATACCATTTCTACCTGCAAAACTATCTTGAAGACAACATTTTAGATTTGGGGTGTTTTAAATATTTTTGTGTTTTATTGGAACAATGAGATATAATATGTAAAATTAGGGCTATCCTAGAGGATCCTGCAGTGTGAGACATACTTCCCTAATTTCCAATAATTCTTTATAAGCTCTTATGGAAAGCTGGAAGTCATACCAAAACTTTCTTTTTACTAAGCCCATACCTGTCAGTTTCATGGCACTTCTTAAGCTGTCAGATTGGTCACCTACCTTTTAATAGTTTATAGGTTTTACAGTTTTACAATTTTTTTTTTGCTTTGGCCATGAAATCAACCTTCTGACTCCTATCCCTCCCAGTCCATTCTCCAAAGTGGATTGTAAGAGTGAGCATTTTGAAACAAAATCCAACCGTGTCCCCCACTGTTAGAATCCTTCAGTGATTCCTCTTGGCTTCCTGGCTAAAGCCTTTATATGGAGATGAGAACTTTCATGGTCTAACCCATGGTGGAGGACACTTATTGTGTGTTGTCCAATCTGCATCCCAGTTTGCTTTTGGAGAATTAACTCTTCCCCAGTGAGTGCTCTCCAAGTGTCCCCCTGTCTTTCTCTAACTGAGAAATGGTTATATTGCCCAAATCAGGCCAGTCACACTCTTCCTTCTGGGACTTTGAATCTTGAATAAAATTGTCCTGTTATTTGATCCTACCTACACCAATTTCAGTCTATGTTCAAATTCTTATAGAACATGCTTGACTCTACATTTTCCCCTCAAGGGTACATTTTTTCTTTATAACTTTTAGTTTTCATGAGTTAGCAACCATTTCCTAAATCATACACAACACACCATGGCTGTAGCATGTCGAGGAGATCAAATCTGATTAACGATCATATACAAAAAACATTTTCTTGCTGAACTATGGGACAAAGTATTTGGACTGTCCGCAAATTTTGGACTCTACTGACTCTGTACCTAGAGTACAGGTCACACATTTTCTCCTTCATCATGTAAGGCAACTGAAGAATTGAATGATATGTTGCAGCAAAACTAAATCACTGCCAGTTTGAACATGCATTCATTCATTTGCTCATTCAGCCATTCACCGTGCTTTAGAGAACAGTGATGGACAGGATGGACCTGGCACTTTCTCTCAGGAGTTTATAGTTTCTCTGTGCAAACATACATGAACACATTACAGGTGTCATGAGTCCTGCACAAGAAACATACTGGATGCTCTGGAAATTGGTATACATGAAGGATGTTTTGGGATGTGGCCTTGAAACTGTGTAATGCAAGTTAGAAAGATGTGAACTGGAAAGTTTATGTACATGTATGCACACATACAGGACATGCATATTCTATCAATTCTATGTTTCTGGTTTCCACTTTCATGAGAAGAGAGAGTGGAAGTTCAGAGCATGGTTCTCTATAGCCTGGATGCCTGAATTTGAACTTCAGCCTACTCATTAACTTTATGATTGGGGCAAATTGCTTAACTTCTCTCTAGTGCATTTTCATCATTAGCAAAAGGCCAATAAAAACAGCACCCAATTCTTAGGATTACTATGAGCCTTACATGAGTTAATACGTGTGAAAGGTCAGTCCTCAGTGTTAGCTCTTACCAGTCCGGAATGATTTTTCTAAGGTAAAGTGGGAAGGGTGCAGCCAGACCAGCGACTAAATCCCACTCTGTCACTTAATGACTGACCCGGTAAGCAGTCCAGTGTCTTTGAACTCCAGTTTCCTCATGTGTGGAATGGAGCAATACTAAACCACGTAAGGTGGTTTTGAGGAGTAAACGAAATAGCATAGTTCTTGGAAATTACCAGGTGCTCAAAAAATAGCATTTACCCCTCTCCCCCTTTTCTTAAAATTAAAATCATTTGAGCCAAATATTATGATGAAAGTAAAAGTAAGAAAAGATGAAACAATATTCTGGAGAACTTCAAGTAAAAATATGATATGGCATGTAATGACAACAAAGGTTATTTTTGATATTTGAAAGTTTGTCTTTTCAACAAAAGTTCTACAAAAACACCAGAGGGAAAGATTTAGCCACTTCTATTATTTTCTGATCTGTTAGCTGTTAGAGTGTGAATGAATGAAATGGAATTAATAGAATGACTTTAGACTGCTAATCTAACTACTATAAAAACTCTAAATTCTATTTTCCTTGCTTATTTTTATTTCAAAGTGCAGTGCGTATACAACTATGCTGTCATTCATAAACAGGGGAAGAAAAACGTGGACAAAGAAAAGAAATATACCCTGGTATAGTAAGTCAGGAAGGAAAGTCTGGTCAGCCAGGCAGGTGCTGGACCAGCAACTCAGGTGCTGTGCAAATGTCCCGCCCCCTGCTGACCAACTCATGCCCTCCTCTGCCCTGTTTCTGCTGGGACGAGGACAACAGAACAGTTTCAGGCTTATCTTTCCATCCAATTCCCTAAAAGATTGAGGCAACAGGTTGTCTAAGAAGGGGAGACCCTCGCCTATTTCACAAGTCACAAACTTCTTATTAAATGTTTCGTAATAACGTAAGGTAAAGAAGGAACTCCTTTATTTTCTCTTTAAATGTTTTCCCTCAGGTTAATTTCTTCCCAAGGGAGGTTTATGTAAATCAGGGTCATTTAAATGACCTGCCTTTCCCTCTCACTTCATCCTGTTGAAAGGACATCGAGTTCTGGGCTCAAGAGAGACACAAAGGGCAGGGGCTACAACGGAGCTGAAAAGCCCTTGCCTTGCAAGCAGATCTTGCATCCTCCTGTCACAGGGGTGGGGATAAAAAATCTGGGGGGTAGGGAGATGGTTTCAATCCCGTCTCTGCCAGCCTGCTCCCACCCCCACTCCACCCTGAGGGGTGACCAAGAGCACATCCCTAGCATGTCTGGTTCCAATTCCATTCACAGGCAAAGCATCGGGGGTTAGATTTCTGAGTTCTCCTGCACGTCTAAATGCTCTGCTGAGGTGTAACTGAACGATGAACCTTCATAGGGGGTGGGGGCGATATTCACATTCCAGCCTGGCAGCAGGTCCCTAAGCCCAACGGCCTAGCGCCAGCTTCCACTCGCGTAAGTTCTCCATGCTTCTTCCCCTGCCCACTTCATGAGTTACACTGAATCCGGACTCCCAGACATCTGAGTTTTTGACCTCTGAGATCCAGTCTTACACTAAAGTTGGTCCATGCTGTGTACGGATAAACTCCTTTTCAGTTCTTGGTGGACAGGCATGGACTGGCCTCAGCAGGCGTGGAGGGCTGGTCATACAATCTCTTTAAAAGAAATCTGGGAACACTTGGTGGGGATGAGCACAGGCACATGGCAACTGCAAGAGCCAATTGGTGGACACAAATATTTTCAAGCAGGATTACCTCACCTGCCCTCACCCCCAATATTAACTTCATATATAATATTCATTGCTCTGGTGGTTAGGGGGTATTTGGATCAAAGAAAAACTTCCTAAAATATCTTTTATTGAAACACATAGAGAAAAGGAAAAAATGACCAATGCACAGGTCAATGCATTATTACAGTGAACACACTTGATGGAGTAACCACACCGCTTGAGTAACCATTATGTTCAAAAATAGAATACAATGAGAAGCCCCTATGGTATGCCTTCTCCCAGGAAGGAAAGTTTTGGTGTTGACAGCATCCCTTTTCCATTTTTCTTTCCAGAAACTATTCCTGGAACCACCTCCCTCTTACTATTACTGTTACTTAATCTTTCCCCCTAATCTTTCTCCTTCCTAGGACAAAACAAACTAGTATCAGCTAACACTGGCCATTCTCTTCCTTGTAATCTGAAAGTCAGCAAATTGGGTAGAAAGGAATGGTGTGGGACCAAGTGACAAGCTGCTGTTTTCATACCCGCAGGAATATGGGACATGTGTGGCTGGGAACCCCAGGTTTTTTGTTTGTTTGTGTCTGTTTTTTGAATTCTCATCTCACAGGCGAGAAGAGAAAACGGAGGCTCAGGAAGGTCAGACGGCCTAATCTGGACTTCAGAAACCAACCCTTTGCAAGCTGCAGGATCTTTGTCCAAATCAAAACCAGAGCTTTCAGTGTGTAAAGGAATTCTCCTCCCCGTGATGGATGGCCCCAGCCCCCTTTGAAAAGCTAGCAGAAGGAATGGTGCCTCTTCCCGGACATCCCTACACACACAGGAAACAAAAGGTGCATATTCTGTTAAAGGTTTCCCACACCAGGTGAGCCCCTGTCCTCGGGCTGCTTCAGGGACTCTCTGTGGGGATACAGCACACATCCGCCACAGCGCCCATGCCCGATACCTTTCAGCCAGAGATATGAGTGCACTGTCAGTGCCGTCCACCTGCAGGACAGACAGAACGTTCTCAGATGCAGCCTCTCCCTCTCGGCACGCTGTGTGCGCTGCGGGGGCGCCCTCCTTTCCGCGGAGCTGTCACAAAGGACAGCACTTGGCATCCTCATTCCTCACTGCCCGGGGCACCAACTCCAAAGAGTTCTGGTGCCTGTTTCTCTGGGATCACTGCCAGCGGGGGTATACAGCTCTGGCCAGAAAGACGCCCGGCGGCCCCAGGAGTCTGGGAGACCAGGGGAGACTCGCATTCATCTCTAGACCCTGCCTCCCCCCAAACGGGCATCAGCCCTTGGGGGGACAGCGCGGGCACGCGGTGTGCAGCAGGGGCGCAGCGACGCCAGGGCACTCTCGTGTACCCACGGAGAGGGCGCCCGGCCCGTGGTTCCAGGCTCTGCCGCCTCAGTGGCTCCCGGCCCGCGCCTGGGCCCTGGCAGTGCCCTTCCTCCGCCTGGCCGGCTTGGCCCGGCACGGCTCCGGGCCGCGGGAGCTGGAGCAGCGCCCCTACCGCCCGCTTTTCCGCCTCCATCTCCTCCACCTCCTCCTTCTTTCGCCCAGCAACCCGCGCATTCACAACCGGTTCAGACCGGCCAGGGTGCCCCGCAAAGAAGAGAGGAGTGTGTGAAGGCGGGGAGGGGGGAACACAAGGAATAACTTCCCGGGGAGGAGGAGAAAGAGAAGGTGGAGCCCAGAGGAGGGGTCTGGCTCCCTCCCTCCATGTGGCCGACAGTTCCGAGGACCTCGGCGCGGGCAGAGGGTGGTGGCTACCGCGGCCGCGTGTAGCGGGACCGATTGCCTAATACTCCCCTAGGGGCCAGGGCCGGGGCTGGGGCCGGGATAAATAGCCGCCCCGCAGGCCTGGACCTACGGGGGACGGCGGCGGCCAAGGTCTCCACTGAACTACCTGCCCGGCCCACCCGGCAACGTGTCCTGTGCTGCGCCCCAGAGTCTGGCACACAGGTAAGGAGCTGGAGCGCGCGGGGAGGGTCCCAAGGGTCGGCAGCCGCCCGTGGGGTCTAACCTCCCCAAGGCTGGAAGTAATTCCTCTGACTCTGAGTAGGAGGGGGAGGCGGCAGCGACGCTGTCACCCGCGGCCAAAGAGCTTGGAACCGGTTTCTTGTTCGGGTGTGTGCCGGGGGCCGGAGAGTGTATTCAGTGCGCTCACGCCCACCCCTTGACAGCGCTCTTTTTTTTTTTTTTGGTGGGGTGCGTTTCCGCGGTGGGCAGGTTTCCCCAGCAATCTGAGGACGGCATTTTAAACGGAGTTGGAAGAGAGAGCGAGAGAGAAATGGGGTCCTGGGGGAGGACGGTGTCCTCGGATTGGGTTCACAGTGGAGATCCGTCCCAGGACTCCCAAGGTAGTATCTGGGGGGAGGGGGGCTGCTGAGGCTGCGGAGCGGGGGTGGGGGCGGGTATGACTCAGTAGGCCCCTACTTCCCCGAGGGCATCGAGGTGCCTTGGTTGGGATTGGTGCCCCCAGGTGCCCCATGAAGGGTCGGGGTTGGGACGCCGGGGATTCTTAGGGGCTGTGAGGAAAGCAGCGTGAGGGGCGGGCGCGTACTGCACCGCCGCGCCAAGTTCAGCACCACCGGGTCGGCCCTGGCGAGAGCAGGAGCCCGGCCTCCGTGATGCCGGGGAAGACACTGGCACCTGGGCCAGCCGGACACCGAGTGGGAACCTGGGAGGACTTGGTGCTGATCCGGTCCATCTGTGGCTCGCCCTTGGTACCAACCTACTCTGGCTTCATCAGCGCCCAGAGCTTTGGAAACAACGGAGAATCATTTAAAAGTTGGTCATCAAAAAGCAAATCAACATTTCCTGGGGTTGCCAGGTCTTACCCAGCACAGGTGGGTCCATCTCAGAAACTTAGGCAAGATTCACACTAAATATATTATTTACATAGTAAGTTATGTAATGTAACATTCTTTGACCACTTTCCTGTGTCACAGTTAGTTTGGGTGTGTTTTATTTTTTTAAATCTTGAATTAACCTGGACAGTAACTCCAATTGTAGGTAGGTTTATGTCCCCCACACCAGAGTAGTCAGATGTTCCACCAGATTCTGTTAATTTGGTGTATGTTTTAACAATTTCTTATATTTGGGTTGGCTTCAGCTGCGGGAAAATTTTCTAGATGGTTCAGGCAAAGGACCAAGGAAGCTAGACAAGACTCTAAAGTGAAACCACCACTTATTCATTGTATGGATACATCTCCTTTTAAATAGCACATGAGTGCAAGTAATAGGGTTAAGTCCCCATGTCTTTGCCAAAATGTCTGTTTTTTTTTTTAAGGCCCCAAGAGGTGGAAATTACATAACAAAATAGTTTACCCTGCAATTTTGTGATAGCTCAGACTTTTAGCACCACTGACTGCTGAGCAGCATCTTCCTCTGTTTCTTTTGTGAGTAGGCAAGTGGCATAACAAGGACCCTTCATATCAATCAGATGAACATAGGGAAGGGCAAAAGAAGATCGGGACCCTAGGAAATCTATTCCGACTTCTGACTCCTGACTATGACTTTGGGAAGAGGGTGCCGATGGTGTGCCTTGTTTGGGGTCTGGAACCCTATCACAGCAGATCATGGCGCTTTGGGGGTGGATCTGATCATGAATTCTGAGCTGCGGGATGACAATTAGACAGCTGTGGTCAGATTTGCAAGCATTATTTCCTAACTCCTCAGTCTTTTAAACCCCCAGATTTTGTAGTCTTTTTTTTTAAGTGAAATGTTTCTTGAACTTGATTCACAGAATGACAGTGGGAAAAATGCAAAAGAAAGTGTCTTGCTTATACAACTATAGCTTTACAAGAATCACCTGGTAACTTTAATAAAAAATTAGAAGAATGTATATCTTTTGATCTAGTTGGCCATCTCTTGAGGCGGTTCTTTGTAAACATCAAAGGAGTCGATTATGAGACTGTAGATTATGAGACTGAACTAGAACTTAAAACTAAATTTCTGGGAAAATTATGTGGTCCCTGCCTTCAAGAAGTTTAGCCTGTGGGGGAAAGACAGGCATGTTTACAGATACCTTCAATACCAGACAGTGTGGTTGGCGTCATATGGCAGAGATATCAACAGAGTGATCTTAAATGACAGAGGAAAGGAGAAGTTCACTTAAGGTTAAGAACTGAGAAAAGCTTTGTGGTGGATGTCGCATTTGAGCTGGGACTTGAGGGCGGAAAGGCTTTTCTCAATGGAATGGCCTGCTGGAACAAGGGAATGGTACAGAGGTGTGGCGGTCTGGTGTGTTCACAGGGAGAAGAGCAGGTTGAAATGGCTGGAGCCTGGAATTTAAGGTAGGTGGGCTGAGAAGTAGGATGGGGCTAGATTATGGAGAACATGACGAGCCACGCTAAGAAATTAAAATGTCATTAAACATTGCTGCTATATTTACACCAATAACGTTAGCCTCCTGAACTGTAGTAGTTCAGACCTTGGGGTTTAATTTTGTGAGCTTCCCTCTAAAAGAAGTAAATGAATAAAATGTCAGTGATATATTTGGTTCCTATAAATGTTACTGAAGTATGTTCCGAATAGCCTTCAATGTTTTGCAAGTGCTCAGGCCAAATCTGATTTGTAGAACCAATAGCATGGTGATGTCAATTTTCCAGAAAAAAATAACTTATTTAAATCTAATTTTTATTTAAATCCAGCCCCCCCCAAATCTGTAATTTTATGGTATAATAACTCTTAGTTTGATTAAAACTTTGGATAGGCAAATACCAATATGCAAAGTAAAGCCACCTTCTATTTTCTGTTTCAACTGCTGATAATAATGATAATAATAATTATTATTAATGCTTATTAAACATGATATGTCAAGTGAGCCAACACATCTTATTTTATCGATGGAGGCATAACTTTTGTCTTAGACTGAGAATTTTAATAAAGTTCCTCAGGTAAGTAAATGATGGGACCAGGATTTGAATGCAAGAAGCCAGTCTTGAGAGCCTGTCCTTTGGCTACCACATAACAAGGGTTAAGACAACCATCGTTAACAGAAGCTAGAAACTGGGTCTGCTACCTGCAGGAGGAGTGTTTCTCTAGGTTTTTCTTTGCATCCTCATTCCTGTCATTCTGACTATTTAATTTTTTTAATTGAGATATAATTGCCATATAACATTGTATTACTTTCCGTTGTGTGACACAATAATATATTTATATATTGCACAATGCCTACCACAATAAGTTTAGTTAACATCCACCACTGCACGCAGTTACAATTTATTTTTTGATGAGAACTTTTGAGACCTGTTCTCTTAGCAACTTTCACGTATATGATACAGTATGCTAACTACCGTCATCAAGCTGTACCTTACACAACATTCTGATTATTTTTACTTTCCATAATTTCATATCTAAATGTGCTAACACATCTTTGAACTACTGTATGGTCTTGCATGTTTATGACCCACTGAAAAGAAACTCTTTAATGCTGAGCAAAGATGGGATGTGGGATAAAAAAACAAAACACTAACGAATGTGACAGCGTTAAATCCAAAACCAGATCTGCCAGATTCTCTGGAAGAATATCAACTTTACATATTCTTCTCATCATTCAATAACCACCCCCCAAACTGCACTAGATCTTTTTGTACTTTGTATCCCATGTATGTTGCCATGTGTCCTGATTTTTATTCTGAAAGTGATATAGCAAATATACTAGTTTGTACATCACATACTAAAGTGTGTATTCTCACACTGGTTGGACTCCCCATTATCATGTACTAACTATGACAATCATATAACGCAAAAGATCACACTGGTTCAGAGAGCATTATCATAGACTTCTTCACCAGAACACTACTATGATTTGGGCCTGGCTTTGTGGGGTGTGGCTTGTGCAGAGTGGAGACAAGATGCAGGGGACGGAGCCTGGCGGTGTGGGGAGCGTGGGTGAGAGCGCGGGACAGAGGGAGGCTTCTGCTCTTCCAATCAACCAGGATCTAAATGGCTGGCCCTCATTTTGCCTATCCTTCGCTCTGTTAAATCTCTAGATGTTTTCATCTATTTTCAGACTCTGCGTGATTTACAAATTCTACCATCTTATCTCTGAACCAGAAAGCAGGACACGGGAATAAGTGACTATTCACTGGATTGGTTAGGAAGGGATCTTGATACTGGTCTCCCCTGACATGATGTCTCTGAACCTCAGTTTCCTCACGCAGATAGGAAATTGAGAGGTTGATAAGATCAGGGGCAGCAAGTTCACAAGTTTACCCAGTGGGGACAGGCATCATAAACCAGCAAGGCAGACTGGGGTGGGAGGATGTCAGGAGAGTACAGGGGAGACTCTGAATGCAAGTGAATCTTGGTCCTGCATCAGGGAGCGTCAGGAGCTGGAGAGAATATGCCCATTCTGTGAGGGCCGGGGCTACTCGGTTCTGGATGATTTTACCTAAGACTGAGGGCCCCATGTTACCAGATCTTCTCATTTTTCAAGAGAATCTGGAAATTTACTTTTTATGTAAAATCTTCCAGTTTTAAACCATTGGAAATCCATTCAAACTTGCTAACAATTAAATTAAATTTAAATTAAAATTTGGCAGTCCAAACAAAACACCTCCAGAGGTCTAGAAATCAGACTTGGCCTTAGTACTGCCAAGAGCCACTTCTAGATGACTTCCAAGTTTCCTTTTGGTTTCAGACTTTCATGGTCTTCCACTTGACCCATTTTATCTCTATCCCATGTTTCAGATCTACCTTATCATAACTTCGGAGGAGCTTCTTGCCATGTGCTGGACAATGTACGATACATTTATAAGGCCTTTAAGATCAAAGGATGCCTTTTTTGATGGCTGTATTGTTGACATAATTCAGAACCCCCTGCAGTTAATTGCTTGTGTTAATTATTCTTGTTAGGGACAATTAGTGTGATTTGATTTCAAGACCCAGAGTTGTTTCTCTGAACATTTTCCTTCCTGCTCTTCCTTCTCACCTCGCTGTGTGACAATAACTGA